TGAATTTGAATTAGCAGAGAGGGGCCATCTTTGGGTTAGTCGAGTAACTCCCTACTCAGGAGGCCATTAGAGCTCTCTATAAAAAGGTTAATTCATCTTTAATTTCTTTTCATAGAAGGTATGTTATAGGAATAAATCTGATTTCATCCAAATCCATTGACAACTGTTATAAGCGAAGCTTCTCCTTGGAGACTAGGATTCTGAAGCTCCATCTCACATACTTGAGGCATGTGGCCAGGAGAGATAGATTCTTAGAAAAGGACATCATGCTCAGAGGGGTGGAGGTACAGTGCAGGAGAGGAAAAACTTGGATAAGATGGAATGATTCAGTAACTAGTCAATGGGGACAGGTGAGTCAGAGTCAGTGAGACTGGCTCAGGACAGGGAAGGGTTCAGAGCTGTTGTACACAGTCACAGACAACTCAACAGCACGTAAAAACAACAACAACACACAAATATGATATGTTCTTTTTTATTACATTTAAAGCTCTCCTACATAGTGATTATAAAGACTTACTTATAAGATGTTTCTAACCTATTTATTTCAGTACAAATTCTACAATATTAATTATTTAGTATCAATTTGTCATAACTAATAATGTAAACCTCCTGAACCACTAGTCTTTCCTTCAAACCATTTCTTGGTATTCATCAAGGGGAAAAATCACAATAAATGCTTTATTGTGAAAGACGACCTTGGAAACAAAGCCTAACTGAAAACACACAAACACATATACACACGTCTTACAAGATGAACATTCCATACTATTCACTTACCCTTTCCTAGAAGAACAACTAACAATTAACACTGCATGACCTTCAATGCACAAAGAATTTTCACATTCATTATGAAAGAATGGATACTTTGTAAAAAAAAAAAAAACCCCACTCATTTTAACATCAATGAATACAGCTAAATTCAGCCTAACATTCATTCCAAAATACAATTGAAAACCCTGATATTTTTATACTTCTACAATTAAAGTTTATGTTAAATAAAACAGTAATTTATTTAATGTTGTATTCTACGTACAGATTGAAAGTTTATGAAAAGCACATCTACACAGTTAGTGGTGTTGTGTGCTGTCAAGTTGGAACTGACTCACAGCTGACCCTCCAGTGGGTTTTCAGAGGCTGTAAATGGCATGGGAGGAGACTGCCCATCCTTCTCCCGTGGAGTAGATGGAAAATCTGAAGCATGTGCCTTAGGGATTGCAGCGCAGCTTCCTATCACTAGGCCACCAGAGCGCCAATTATATACTAGCAATTATAAAGTAACATTCATTTCTTTAGGCTTTGGTCATTGTTTAAATAAAACTTAGTTATCAAAATAAATGATGTAAAACTACAATATTAGCTTACCTTAAGCTAGTCAGACATTTATGACATAAAAACTATTTTGCTACAAAGCTGTATCTATCATCTCTGCAACTAAATTTAATTAACAGATATTTTCCTGATAAACTTACATTTTTCACTATAAATGATCTGGACCACTGGATTAGGGCCATCATTCTGTGGCACTGGATCTATATCAGCCCATTCTGCTCTGTCCCTGAAAAGACAAATTTTTTTTTCAGTGACTATTTTCAAGCAGAGAAAAAGAAGAGACAAACTCTGATGTTTAAAAAAAAAATAACCACAACACTTACATTAATACTAGTAATCTTGAACCTTTTTCACTGCACTCGTTACTAACTGAAAGGCTGGTGGTTTGAATCAAATCAGAAGTACCTTAAGGAAAGAGAAGTCTAGTGATCATCTTCTGAAAGAGTGGTTGTTGCTGTGTGTCAAGTCAATTCCTTCCTGTAGACTTTAATCTGACAGAGCAGAAGTGCCTAGTAGGGTTTCCAAGCTGTAATCATTATGTGACCAGCCTGTTAGGTCTTTTCTCCTGCAGTCACTGGTGAGTCTGAACCCATAATCTTTTTTGTTTAGCTGCTGAGCACTTAATCACTGCACTGCCAGAAATCCTTTCCATAAGATTGCAAAAAATAAAACCAAGCATGAGGTTGCTGAGGTAATTTCAAATCACAGTGACCCGCCACTGGAATTCTAAGGTTCTGGAAAGGTTAGCGGTGAGGAGCTGCCACCAGAAGCTCTGCAAGAGGAAGCTGGGCAATCTCCTCCTGCGTCATGTACAGCTTCTGAAAACTAGCTGGAGGATCAGCTCTGAGTCTATTCCAATTCCATAGTAAACAATAACAATCTTAAAGGGAGGAGATTCTTCATTTTTCTCCCACAGAACTAACTAGGGAATTCAAACTGCTGATTGGGTTTACAGCCTGCAAATTTACACGGGATGGCATAGGACAGTGTAGGGTTCAGATCTGTTCATAGGCTGACTATGAGCCATAGGCAACTCAACAGTAACTACCAACAAGATACACACTACACCATCAGAGTTCCTATTATTCCTAAATTACAGGCATAAAAATTCGATGGAGCTTATAGTTCTACTCTTTAATGCCTGGGGCCCCATGAGTTAGAAGTGAACAGAATGCAATGCTGTTGATGTTATTTGCCATCGAGTCAGAATGACCTCCAACAGGTTTCATAGGCAGTAAATACACTGGAGGAGATTGCCCATCCTTCTTCAAGAGAGCAGCCAAGAAGGATGCCAACCACCTACCTTTGGGATAACAAAATAACTACTTACCATAGAGGTCCCTAGCAGACAAGGAATTTGGTTTTTTGTTGTTGTTGTTTTTGTTGTTACAGATATGTTACTGTAATCATAGTTAAATTCTTCATAACCAAGCTTTGCCATTTTTTCTTACAGACTGACTTTTGAAGTAAAAATAAAGGTAAAATGAATAATCCTTAGATTTTAAAAAGTTTCATCAGTAATTTTAAAACCTAAAGATTTAAAACCAGGGACTTAAAAAAGTTTCACCAGGACTTTTAAAATCCAAAGACTTAAAAGCAGAAACCTTTTTTTGCAGAAGGCTTTTAGAAATAAATCTATTTAACTGGCTTAAGAGTTTACTTTCCCTTAATTCATAAGATTCTTAGGGGTTAATATAAGTAATATCATTTAATAGTTGTGGGACCCTAAGAAAATGAGTTAATCTTGCTGGGTCTCAGTTTCTTCATCTCTAAAATGGGGATGAGAATATTATCAGCCAACTTTAGGAAATGTTTTAAGTATAAAATAACACACAGTAAATATTGAAAACAAGCATAGTACATATTAAACATTCAATGAATGTTACTTCATTGTCAACATTGTCAACACTAAAATAACATTATAAAGTCAACTACAGATGCTTAAAGACATCTCTGAACTGCCCAATGAAATCAAAGTTCTATTTCTCACTCTTCAATTTCTAACATTCTTCCCCCACCCACTTTTTCCTTTTCTATACTGAACACCTAACAAGAGCAGCTTCTTAGGCACACAAGCAATCCAGAAATTACGCTCACCATGTAAGCAGACAGAGATGAGAGTAATGAGACAAGTGAGAAGGAGGAAGACAAATCATGACCTGAACTGTAAGAGACCTACAGCCTGTGGGCGTAGCATGAGAAAGCAGAGACGGGAAATTAAGACAGTCATGTGAAGACAGTGAAAATTTATCAATTCAGTGATACAGGTTAGGGGAACTCTGGTGGTCCCGTGGTAAAGAATTGCACTGTAGACCTGAAGGCATATGGTTTGAATTCAAAAGAAGCTCTGAAAAACAAAGATGGCCAATCTCATCCTGTGCTACTTACAATCTCTGAAAACTTGCTGGAGGGTCAGTTATCAGCTGGTTCTGACAAAATGGCACATAACAACCTGATACAGGTTTCAGTGTTCATAGCACCACGGTAATCTAAATGATCATGGTGATGAATTTAAATCAGTAAAATATTAACTGTAAGAAAAAACACGGATAGTGATTTTCACGAACTTAAGAGAATTAAGCCAAATACTCTCTATCAAATGTGTATTTAAGAAATCCTGATGGGATGTAACTAAACACTTCACCAAAGAAGACATTCAGACAGCAAACACATGAATGTTCAAACTCCCTCGCCATCAGAGAAATGTAAATAAAAATAACTATGAGATATCATCTCACTCCATCAACAACAGTAAAGTTCAACAGGGCAGCAAACAACAAATGCTAGTGAGGTTGGAGAGATTGGAATTCTTATTCACTGCTGGTGGGATTGTAAAATGGTACAGACACTATATAATGCAGACTGGTGCTTTCTCAAAATGTTAGAAATGGAAACATCATTTGACCCAGCAATTCCACTACTGGGAATATACTCTAAAGAAGCCAGAGCTATGACTCAAACAGATATATGCACACCCATGTTTATTGCTGTGTTATTTCCAATAGCAAAGAGAGAGAAGCAACCCAAATGTTCATCCACAAAGTAATAGACAGAAAAAACTATGCTTTATCCACACAATGGAGTATTACTCAGTACTGAAAAATAAAGAACTTGTAAAACATTACACAACAATGGGGAACCTGGAGGATATTATGCTGAAATCTCTCAGACATAAAAGGGCAAATACTACATAACACTATTGTTATAAAATAGGACAGGAATGGGGAGTTGGAGGAAAAAAGGGAAAGAGTAGATAATGAAAAGTGTATTAGGACAGGGCAAAGAATTGTTCCGAAAGGAATATATGATTAGGCATTGTATGCATGACAATCTAGAACAAGAAGTGCATTGCAGGGAGGGTGGAGAGTAGGGGGGTAGAAAATGTGCAACAATGAAAAAAAAAATCAAAATGGTGTAGTGTGTATCATGTTGGGCTTCAAATCCACCAGCTGTTCCACAGAAGAAAGATGGCCAGTCTCTTCCCTTTAAGATTTACAGACACAGAAACCCAGCAGGTTGTCATGACTCATCGTCAGTGGGTCTGGTTTGTCTGAATGTTTGTTCTTTTGGTAGTCCACGGTATACTAATTAGGGAAATGTAGACCCTATACACAGAGCAAGAGGTAGATGCTCAAATGGAACAAGGGCATATTGTATGTTTACAAGTTAGAAAATGTGTCAGGGATATATCCATTTACCATATTTACCATACTGATTCACCCTATCTGTATGCTGATACATACATACTCTGAGACACTGGACTGTAGAAAGAAGACAGTAGAATTGGGATTGGAGAAAGACCTAAACAATCTGTGGACAGTACAGATGTCACAGCCTTGCTTACTGAAAGGGAAGAGGACCTGAAGCACTTAATGATGGATCAAAGACGACATATTTTAGTATAGACTACACTTCAACATATACAAACATCCTTAAAAATGAACCAATACGCAGCATCGTAACAAATAAAAACTGACTGAAGTTGCCAAGAATTTAATTTTACTTGGGTCTACAATCAATTTCTACAGAGGCAGCAGTCAGCAATCTGCTACAAAATACTTCTCTAAAGTTTTACAAAAGAAAGATGTCACTTTGAGCACTAAAGTGCGCCTGACACAAGCCATGATCTTTATTGAACTGCCTCATATGCAAGTGAAAGCTGGACAGTGAATAAGGACAATAGAAAAAGAACTGATGTCTTTAAATTGTGGTGTTGGCAAAGACTATTAATATACCACAGACTGCCAGAAGAACAAAGCTGTTTTGGCAGAAGTTCAGCCAGAAAGCTTCTTAGAAGCTAGAATGGTGAGATTTGTCATGTACTGTGGACATGTTATCAAGAGGGACCAGTCTCTGGGAAAGCACTTCATGCTTGATAAAGGCTCAGTGAAAAAGAGGAAGACCCTTAATGAGAGGCGCTGACAAAGTGTCTGTTCACAATGGGCTCAAACACAGCATGGAAATGAGGACAGGCAGTGTTTCACGATGCTGTACATAGGGCACTATGTCAGAACCCATTCAATGACACCTAACAAGAATGTGAGTACCTAGAACTGAACAAGGCAGATACAATGTGTGAGCTTAGTGATCACCTCTGCAGGTTCAAATGGAATCTGTAAATCAGCTTTACTTTCTGATAGGAAGACATGATTCAGACAAGGGCTGCTGTTATGTTCAGTTGGCTATACAGCTCACACTGCCCCTATGAACAAAAGGCTCTGAACCCCGTGCCAGCCTCACCATCTCCAGCACACATGAGCCCACTTGGAAAGCTTAAAAAGCACCCACGACTGCTGACTATCTATTCTTTGCATTATATACACGATGCTGTTGGGACTTGTAAGTGGAATTAGCAAATACAAGATCTTCACTTTGACAACCTAATTTAGTATTTTACTGATTCTAGGTGCTAAATAATAGTTGAATGAACTTTAGAGTTTTGGAGTTTCATGCACGATTTCTCTTTCCAGCACAGAATAAATCTTTGGGAAAGCTTACACGTAGCTTTCTAAGGTCAGCAAATCTGGACCTACTTAAATAATTTTTTCCCTTCTGTATTTAGATTACTATCAGCAGAGTATTCGGGGCGCATGGAAGAGAGCGGGAAATTTCTCCATTATGAATCATAACACTTTAACAGCCTAAGAACGAGTGATGTCCAGTGTCCTGTGGTTTCTGCATCTCTTACAAACTCGTGAGAAGCCGCAGAGGCATCGCGAGTCTTCGGCCACTGCTGCCTCCAGGAGCGGGTCCCGGGGGCTGGGCGGCCACCTCCAGCCAAAGGCCCGGCGGCCAGCACCAGCGGGGCCTCGAAAACTTCAGCCCCACACAAAGAGGACGCGGCGCAGACTGCAGACAGCGGCCAGCAGTCAGCTCCCGCCCGGGGATTGGCCTCAGGCGCAGCGGCCATGCCGCGGGGGCGTTACCTGTACAGGACATAGGTAGGCGAGTCCAGGCTCAGAAACCCATCGTCCATTGGCGATGCCAACGCTTCTCCCCCCTCGGACGCCGCCTCTTCTCCCTGTTGCTGCTGCTGCTGTGGCGGCGGAGGGTGCGGCTGGGGCGGCGGCTGCTCCGGCTGACCAGGCTCGCTGCCCTGCGCAGCCTCTCCGACCCCTTCGGTCGCCGCCATCTCGCCTGGGTCCGCAGCGGAGGTGGCAGCGAAGGCCCCGCCCCTGCATGGCCCCGCCCTCGGCTCCCTTCCTCCTTGCAGGGACCCGCTTCCGGTTTCCTGGCTGCCGACCATAGAGATGAAGGCCAGAGAGCCCCCGGCTGGTTGCCGACCAGGGGTGCTCAGGATGTGAGCTGCAGGCTGCGATCGGCTTCATTAATAGACGCCTAAGGGTCAGGAGGACTAGTCCCAGACTTCCCAAACTTCATCCATTTCGAAATGATTGTAGTTGTTCCAAATCTTTTCGGCTATACGGTTGTGACAAGTCGGCATGTACTCAAATGGCAGTCGATTTCGTTTGGTTTTGATGCCACAAAAAGGAGAGATAAGGATCGTTGCTGTTATATGCCATTGAGTACGACTTGAGAACCCTGTCCTATCTTGTGCCAGTCTGACAATCTCTGACACACTCGAACCCATTGCTGCAGTCACTGTGTCAGCCTGATGGGGTGGTATTAATAAATTTAGAATTCTCTAAATAAGTATCAGTTATAAAACTAGTTACATCGTTATAAAACTGGCATCGGTTTTCTCCAGCAAAACTAGTTACTTAGCCTTTGGATTCTTTGTTTCCTTTCTTTATTGGTGTAAAGTAGTTTAATCTGTCTATTTACTAGGACAGGAAATCCATCTCTCCCTAGATCAGCGTTTACCTCTTTGAAACTGTTTTTCCCAACCATATGTAAATTGTATCCTTTTAAAAAAATTTATTTTATTAATTTTAATGAACATTTACTGAGATTTTGGATTTCCATTCATTCATTGTTGCACTTTTTTCTCTACCATCCTCTTCGCTCCTCTCCGAAAAGCAAAAGATAAACTCCTTCATTAGTATACTCTCCCCGCCAGCTTTCCCCACAACCCCCCACCCTCCACCCCCACCTGCCCCGCTCCAAATGCACTCCACTATGCAACCTTAATTCTGGATTCTTTGATAACCATAATACCCTATCATATATCGCTTTAAACTGTTCTCTCCCTCATCTGTTTCAATGCAGTATACATAATCTATCCAGTTTTTCCCAGTCTTACCCCAACACTGATGTCAGTCCCATTCTAAAACAGTGGCACCATGCAGTATTTGTCTTTTTGTTACTGAGATATTTTACTCAGCATAATATCCTCCAGGGTCACCCATTTTGAATAATATTGCATGAGTTCCTTGTTTTGTAATGCAGCGTAGTATTCCATTGTGTGAATGTACCACAGCTTCTCTATCCGTTTGTTTATTGATGGGCACTTAGGTTGTTTCCAGCTCCTTGCTATTGTGAAAAAAGCCGCAATAAACATGGGTGTGCATCAAATGGTATTTCTATTTCCAACTTTTTGCTAAAGTGCCATACTGCCTTACATAGTGGTTGCACCATTTTACACTACCACGAACAGTGAATAAAGGGTTCCAGTTTCTCGGCAACCTCACCAGCATTTGTTGTTTGCTGTTCTGTTCAATTTTTCTATTCTTACTGGGATGAGATGATATCTTATAGTTGTTTTTATTTGCATCTCTCTTAGAGCGAGGGATTTTGAACATTTATTTCTTCATGTATTTGTTGGCCATATGAATGTCTTCTTTCGTGAAGTGTCTGTTCATATCCTGTGCCCATTTTGCAGTTGGGTTGTTTACCTTTATCTTGTGGTGCTCAAGTAAGTTGTATCTTAATCCTCTCTTTTTTCCCAGGAGGGAAGGTGCACCTTTCCTGAGTTAGCCTTTATCTTTTCAGGGCCTGTTTTTCTAAGTCATGTGTTAACTCTTTTGTAGGTTGTCTGTTTACTGGTATCTGTGTGTAAATGTTTTTGGGTTTTCCCCCCCCAGATGTAGAAATTCTTCAATGTTACTAACAAAAGTGCATTGTTAAGCGAGTTGGTGTCTCACCCTGGTATATAATCCTAATGACCACTCCCAGATGGGGAGGCAGTCTCTGAGAAGGATCTCACTGCCTTCCCACAGATAGGTAGTAAAGTGCCTATGGATATTGCAATTCATCTGTCTAATGGCAATTGACTAACGGAAAGAACCCCTTGCATTTAGTAATAAATTCACCTGGTTGAGGGTCTTCCTCTCTTTCATGGAAACTCCACCTTTATAAACATGATGTCCTCCAAGAAATAGCTTTTCCTAGCTACATGCCCCAAGTGCGTGAGACCAAGTGTCACCATCCTTGCCTCTAAGGAGCACCCTGGTTGCACCTTCTCCAAAACATATCTGGGATATTCAGATATAGGGTATTGTGGGATATTCAGCATTCTTCTCCAACACCACAATTCACAGGCATCAATTCTTTTATAATCTCTTTTATTTGTCTAGCTCTCAGTATCATAGCAAGTGGTTTTGATAGCACAAAAGGGAGAGATGGGGATAGCACTTCTCTTTGGCCTAGTCTTAGATACTGCCTAAGGATGACAGCTCAAGGCAGCTGTAACCCAAGACCACCAGTGGGGTGATAAAGCGTCCTCCCTTCCCCCCTTTATATCTACGCCCCTGTTCAGCATGAAGAAGCCAGAGAGTTGGCATCCAATTCCCAAATCAATAAGACAGTTGGCTTAATTACTATTGGAAAATGCTTGTCATTCCTCTGTAGCATCTGGTCCCCACTGGACCCTCATCATTTCCTTCACCTGCTCCCCCCACTGACCAAACTGTGCAGCTCTGCAACTGCATCCTGGCCCATCCTCACCCTTCTGCCCCCAACCCTCACCTCCTTGTACTCCCAATATGTTTTTCCCAATAAAAAAAATATTTAAAAAAAATAAAAAAAAAAGGATGACAGCTCAAAACTCCCTTGTTCTCCCCCTCTCCCTCCCCCCAGGAACTTGGGCTTTTCCTTGCTGTCTTTTCACATTTAAGGGTCTAATGTCCTTTTGCATGGGTAGATGCTAAGAATTTATGCTTCAGTAAACTGTTAGTTTCATTTTTTTTTATTTCATTACAGATGACAGGTGTGTAGAAAAGGAAAGAATTTTTCTGTATGCAATAGAAAAGGGATACACTTATTAACATGTATTTGCTGACCACCGAATACATGCTTTCTTCACAGCAGTGAGTAAAATAAGGACTCCTGATCATGGAGTTTGTACTATTGCTGCCATCAAATTGGACACGATAGAGAGAGAGAGAGAGAGAGATATGTGGGGGTGTGTATAGTTGACCTTCCAGGGGTTTCCAGAGGCTGGAAATTGCATGGGAAGATACTGCCTCTACCCAGTAGGCCAGGCAGAGTGCCCTATTTATGCTGCTATTGTTAAGTGTATTGGAGTCAATTATGACTTATAGTGAGGGAGATGAGTGGTTGGTACTAGTTGTATTCTAACAGTGGTTGCAATGGTGGTGGTGAAGTGATATGAAAGAAATAGAAAGCAAAGTGAAGTGATAAAATGTGTTAGTAGTTGCCTTTTTAGCTTGACCAGAAAGGTTCTTTAGGAACTAATTAAGAGGGAACAGAGAAACTCATCTGGAAAGAACAGAAAGTCCATGCTTATAATGTGCTTTGTTTAGTAAGGGTGACAATGTGATGATTGTGAATGAGGAAAGAAGTTGATGCTCTGAATTAAATTGCATCCTCCCAAAAATGTTTCAAAATCCTAACTCCTATGCATCTCTTCCTGTTTGCAAATTGTTTTACTAATTAGGGCAAGTTCTAAATCTAATTAATTCTGAATTATAAAAAGGACAAATTACAACCAGAGTTGGATAGGAGTATTGAGTACTGAAGGGTCATTTACAATCTAGGAACATCCAGGACTACATACAAATTCTATGCAGTTTCTAGAACAAGTTTTATTGCCTATTGCTCTGTAATGCAGTGAATGTGCTTGGTAGAGATTAGAATGCAGAGAGACATTGTGACTTTTGAAAATTACCTTCATAGCAGAAAATATCTTCTCTCCCTGCATGGGCAGCTCTCTAATAAGCAGTGGAGTGTATTGTTAGTCCCTTGAATCTGGCCTTATCTTGGATGGATTGTTTTTCACATCCTCACCAACATTTTTGGTGTGTTGTCCTGCTGCAGGGGTAAGATGGTATCTCATTGTTGTTTTGATTTACATCTCTCTGGTTGCTAGTAATTTTTTTAATTATACTGGTTTATTTACGAAGTTTGTATACTTTGTTTTTACCAATCTTTCTAATTTGCTTCACTCACCCCTACCTCCACCCTCATCAAACTGTTAGCAATGCTATGATTAACCATCCCACTGTCCCCCATCCTCATCCCTTCGCTCCCCTCACCCATCCTTATACTCGGTCTACAATAATGGTTGTTTTTCTCTTGTTGTGTACTCTTGAGTTGGATCTGACTAGCACAGAAGGAGATTGCCTATCCTTCTCCAACGGAGAATTTGGTGGATGGAGACCATGCTTGTGCCTTTGGGATTGCTGCACAGATTCTTGCCACTAAGCCACCAGAGCTCCCTTACAATAATGGTCTTTTACAGTATTTGTCCTTATGGGACTGAAATAGTTCACTTAGCATAATGCTCTCCAGTCCTTATCTGGAATTGTTTTGACAGGATAGAAATAATGGTGTATACTTTCTGAGACTGAGTGAAAGTTGTGATCTCTCAAAACTCTTGCTCTGAGTCTGTCAATTATTTTTATGTGATGTTGGGATCTTCCCTGATCAGCCCACCATTGTTCCCTTCACATCCATGTGAGTGTCAGGAAAGCCTTTGGATGGCTAACTTTCATTTCAGCTACCATTTGACTACAAACAAATGAGGGATCCCACAAGAGAATCGCTAAGTCTGTGTGCAGACTTGTGGGGAAGAACACAGTGTTCTTGGAAATGACCACATTTTGGAAAGGATTATGGTGTATAGATAGATAACCAGAGTAGTATCATAGGTACATATAAGGAGAGCTGGTGGGTCTTCATTTGGATGATAGGCAATTTGGCAACTTTTCTGTGTTGTGCTCCACTGGATTATAGACTTCTTTAAAGGTAGAAACATTCTTTGGTTTAATTTTGTTATTCAATCTATTT